GTAATGATTATCGAGATTTGGCAGACAAGTGTGCGAATTTCTTCAAAAGATAAACTCCAAAGTGAGGAAATCTGAGCGGTATGAACTTCAAATCGATACTATCATCCAATCATCATTATGTACTTTGGCTTGGTGTTCGCTACTTATAAGCAATCGCTTCAGTTCCAGCAGCTCGGTTTTACCTCCAACAAAGTTTGTTGCGTTATCCGTCGAAATAGTTTTCGTTTTACCTCGTGTACTAAAAATCTTTTCAATGCAGCTTAGAACGCAGATGTAAACAAGTCCTTGACGAACTTCAGATGAACCGCCTTTATAGCAAAACATATAAAAAAAGCAATGTAACACTTAAATGGCTGCTTCTTTCGAATTCTCTGACTGATAGTTGAACGGACCACAAAAATCTATTACAGTTGTAAATAATGGTCTAGCAGCTAGTACAGGTTCGACCAGTAAATCCGCCATGATCAACCTGGGCTTGGCACGACATCATATGACGCATTTTTTGACTATCTGTGCAACCATTTTTCGACCGCCTAATGACCAATATTGTAGACGAATCGACGCAAGTAATTCCTGACGACCTGTGTGAGTTAAGTGAAAGTAATTAAACATTGAAACTGTAAGTAGACGACGTTTCAGCATAAGAATTGGATTCCGTGAGTGAAAATCCAAAACCCTGTTTTTGAGGCGACCACCAACTCTTAGAAGTCTAAATATATCCAGAAAGGACGATAGAGAGAATAATTCTCTTGTTGCGGAAGTTGCTTCCTTCCTTTGCACGAGTTATACTCAGCCGAAAAATTTACCATTTAAATCATACGAATTAGTAAATACATTCTTTTTGAATTTTCTTTGATGTCTATCCTTTTTAATAATCATATAATAAACAGAGCTATCATTTTTAATAATCATATATGTCGGCTATGTCATATGTGTGGCATAGATCAAAATGAGTTAACGAGCTTGTAGTTCTCCGAGATATCGGCAGCAGAGCGTGCAGATAGCAGGAAACTTTTACGAGCTTCTGAAAGTTCTGGATCCAGAATGGTTAATTTAAGCCACTCAGCGTAAGAGTTTAGTAAAAACGACGGACCATGTTTCCATAGTGGAGAATTAATCAGTTCTCTTTGTGTTGCTCTGCGAGAGGGTATATCAGCAGGGTTTTCAGCTGTAGGAACATAGCGCCTCTCCATACCATCTGTGCAGTTTTGAATACTACAGCGCGATTAATCCTCTTTCAACCATAGCAAAACAATGCTGGAGTCAAAGAAAGACATTTAGTTGGGCGATTGCATGCACTATCTATACAAGTACATGGGCAACACATAGCTCGAACTTCGGAACCGTGAGAGATAAGATTGTAGCAATTTTTGAATTTGAGCAAAGTAGTTTTGTACGTGTGATGCTACCATCGTTAGCATGTATGTAAACGCAGGCCCCGTAAGCAGACAAACTAGCATCACAAAAGGCGTGCTGCATCACTTAGCTATGAAATGAGGTAAATACTTGACTCTTTCGAACTGAGTGTAGAGATTCTTCCAACTTACTGCATGCAACAACGGTAAACTTTCATCCCAGCCCAGTTTTTCTATCCACATCTGCTAGAGAAATATTTCCGATTTTAATACTAATGGTCTTATCAGACCTTGAGGAGCATGTAATCGTGCAATTGAGAAATTCGAGCGCTTCGTTATTCTATTTGATTTTGAAATGGCGTGAAAGCGAAGAAAAACAAATCTGGATCTGTATTCCATAGCGAACAGATAGCCTTTGTTATGCGGCTGCCGTCATCAAATTCAAGAAGCTTTTCTTTATCAGCTGTAGTGGCCTGTGCCAACACGGTGTGGTCATTGGAGCACCATTTGCGTATTTTAAAATAGCCTTTAGCAAGTATCTGCGAATTTTTTTGTATAGAAGTATTGGCGCCAGTGATCATGTCATAAACATAAAAGTCTCTCAAAACTATTTTAGCGCCAAGCGGACAGGACTCAGTTTCATCTTTAGCCAATTGGAGTGTGACTCTAATAGCTAGGAATAATGATCATGTACCATACGTCAAATGCCACAGTTTCTATAGTAATTTCTAAGTTTTAACATCTTCAAGCGGACTTTGTCTCCAAAGTAAACGTTTGGTTTGGCAATACGTACGCGGTGGTACATTTTGCATATGCCACCTGTCAAAGGGATGGGATTTGATCTAAAACGAATTAACGTTTCTGCAAGCTTCGGTGGAATTGTTGGACCTCCCAGTAACATTTGATATAGAGAGTAGCGCAGCTTAGTTGTTGTGCTATTCTTCTTAAAAACGCAATGATGTGGAAAATAATATGTCGCCACATTAGGCGGATTGACCACTAGCGACATGTGCTTTAATTCAACGTATTTCTTCATAAATGTTTCATACCGTTCCAGAGAAAACAGTCGACGCAGGGTATGCTGTCTTCAAGTAAGTTTATATCCTGTTTAACAGGAAGACGAACTAAGTACTCACCACTGCTCAAACGATGGTAATTTGCATGAAAATGCATTTCGCAATCAAGTTATTCCTTCGATATCTTCATGGTTTCGTCGAAAAAATTTTCTGTCTCCCAAAAGCTACGAATCATCTGGTCAACCGTTTCAGATGGTCTGTTATTCTTGATGCCACCGCATATGACGAACGCGTTATAGAGCCCTGTTTACCACCAGATACGATCCAGCCAAGACGAGTATTTTGCAAAACGTGCGTTGGTTCTTAAAGACGTAATTGGCCGACACACCACAAATCAAAAAAATTCTGGCCCCAATTAAGAGGTTGACTCTACCAGAAATATGAAATAATGCCCAGTTTCATTTTGCCAGGGATGTTCCACTGTGTTATGCTGAAGATCGTGGTTGTCTGCCACTCGGTTATTGTTGGTATTACAGACGCCGTAATAGTATTTATATAATCGCTGTGAATAGATTTAAAAGTAATATCGATTGTGTATTCAACCATTGTACCTGAGTCTCCAATTCCTAAAACTATTATATGAAACCACGCTTTCTTAAACCTTAATTTGCTAGACAACTTGGTAGTATCAAAATTTAGCTGAGAAGTTGAATCCAATCCAATCTTGCTCAGCAATGAATAAATCATCCATCCTTGTTTCTTACTATAATCGTTGCAGCTGCCAATAGTACTGCTTCACTAGTTTGGTGCTTAAGTTTTTCTTTCGCTACAAATTCCGATACCTTCGAAACCAAGGAAGTTGATGCTCAACTTTAAGACAGTTTAGGCAAAGTTCATCGTTTTTCGCCTCTTTCCAGCGCTCGTTTGGGGAGAATTTCACAAATTATGAACAATTATAAGTAAATAAATTGCAAAATGTGCAAGACCTTTGTGATAATTTCGAAACGACAACAGTCTTGTTACGACACATATTTTTGCTCATTTGCATAGTAGGAGCATTACCAAATGTAGCAAATTCGGCATTCTCAAGAGTTGGACACCTTTTTTTCTAAGAACAATGACATGGCTACCCAGGTGGTTAGCTCGCTGGATGACCCCTTATCTTCTCACATGTGCTTTCTTACTGAGTATAGTTTCTGAGTAACGCGGTGGATCAATAAGCAGTCGGCTAATTGTTCTGTATTGCATAAGGTCTGTAATGCACTAATATGGGAGAGAAACTTATCCGTTAGCTGCCGAAGATTTGCTACTCCGTTTGCTTCAGCACCTTCTAGTCCATATTATTGACGTATATGATCCTGAAAAATTAAGCGCTTATTATCAAACCTGTGGCCTTTTTCGTACTTTGATTGACTGTATGGTATCTAGTGCAGCATCCGCAAGGCATGAGCGCAGGTGTTGAAGTGTTCCCACCTTTGTTAGTTCAACGTCTCTATCACTTATCATCATAAACATAGAAAAGAGCTGAGGCCAGTCTAAGTAATTTCCTCTAAAAGTTGGAAGCCTCAGTTCAGTTAAGCAAGAACAAGTTATCAGAAGTCACGTAGGCCAAAGTAGCGGACCGTGTATGCAATGGTTATCCAAGCGATTATTCTTAAGCATAAGGTGCTTAAGTCGATGCCCGAATTACGTTGGGGTCACCAATGTGAAGAGTCTGGATACTGTTTTGTCTCGACCACGATATTCTTTAATAGGGTAAAAATTTAGAAAAAAGGTACAATAAAAAATACATGAGTTTAATATAACTGAGCAAGTATAGTTATGAATTGAGTGCGAATGGTAAAGTGAAGAAGGAATTGCAATGTCAAATTGCTGGGTGCTATTCATTGCTGTGGTTCTCAACATTCTGTTTTATTAAATGTTTTTCGTAGCTATTTACAACTATTTATTAAAGTAAACTGCCTCTTAAATTGTGAATTGAACACTTAACGTAGTAATTTTTGAAATAAATTTAACCATTTATGAGTATTGGTTCTTATTTTTTCTCCAGCAAAGTTAATTGGCACACTTTCATTATAACTAGGATAATTAAGCAAACTTCTTCCGAAAATTAAATAAAAAGCGCACTAACTTCAAAATTAGTTTTTAGCAGATTGTGCCTGGCAACTCAAATTTTAAGCTCACAGCTGACTGTTGGAACTCGATCTTGTAGTTTGAGCTGGCAACAAAACATAATCGAGGCCAAAACATGATGGATAAATGAGTAAGTTTCATTTCATATTATCTTTGACGCATTATACACATTATTCTTCCGGTGCAAAACATTGTCCGAATAATGATGATTTAACATTACCAAACGTTAAATAATTCGCTGGCACTCGGGCTATGCTGTCGATTTCTGGTGTACTAACTGGTCGTTGATAATCTACACGAATTTTTGCAAGAAAATTTATAGAATTATAAGATCAGCAAGAGCTCACATTTAACTGTTAGAAAATGGAGACCTGGAACGCGTCATTACGTTTAGGTTGACCTTACTTACTTTTTAGAATAAATTTCGAAGGAAAAGTCGCTGGTTCTTATAAAAGCCAGATAGATTAAAAAAAGCGGCTTATAAAAAATGCAAACAGATTATTTCAAAATGTATGTATATGTTTTACGGCTTACATTCAGAACTAACTGGCTACAACATAAAAAACATGAAAGCAATACCATGCACTAAAAGAGAAAGGCCCTCTTCGAAAACGAATAACTTGTATTCAACAAAATGCTGGCCACAGCAGAAACTATAGCAAGGACAGAGCAAAAAACAAGTGTTCACCAAACACCTGATGCAAAAAACCGACGTGGGAAGCCTTTTTTGTGGAAACCTTTCAACAAATCAAAAAGTCGTTCGACAGTTAAAAGAATCATAAATGTCATTGATCATTCACGGTGTGAATATTGCAGATGTAACGAGATCGCACCGAAAGAAAAGAGAGCAAGCGAAATTAATGTAAGTAAAAACTTTTTATTAAAAAAAAGGTGTGTCGATATGTTGTTATCTAAATATAATATGTATATACATATATATGTGTGTTAGTGAAATAGTTCACTAATTATTGTATTATCTTACAAAAATCTAATCGCCGAATACTTGGCTATCTTTTCTCAGGTTTGTAATTTATTCACCTGTGTATAACATCAAAAAAGGTGATTTTTTATTTATAGGAAAGTTAAAAAAAATACATACAATTCAAAAAATTCATGAAACATTTAGTTTAATCAATAGTACGGTCCATATAGTTTAATGTTTGAAGATTTTTTCATGCAAATGTTTTGGCATACTCTTTCCAACATTTCGCCCGGTATCTCCCGGGCTTGTCTGCATAGATATTAGATGTAACATAGCCCATAAAAAATAGTATAAAGGCGTTAAAGCACACAATCTAGGCGGACAATTGAAATAAAATGTTCACCGAAGTCGCCTCTCAATAAGTCCATTGTTACGCGTGCTGTGTGGCTTGTGGCACCGTCTTGTCATGTAAGTCAAGTTCTTGCATTTTAGGCAAAAAAAAATTTGATATCTTTTAATGGTAGCGCTCACTATTCACAGTTCCGTTACGATTCGCATCATCTTTGAAGAAGTACGGATGCTACCATGGTTAAATTATAGACCAAACTGAAGCTGTTTGACAGTGATACAAAACACGTAACGTGCGACAGCTGTTTCAACCAGTATTTCCAAAGGGGTAGTATCTAAAAAATCACCCATTATAATAGCCGAGCTAACAACTTTAGCCATTCTTTTCGCTGTTAGGCGCCAAATGGAAATACCAAGTATAGACAGGTCTTTCTCTACCTGGTCTTTCCAACGGAGCGGCAAGTGGAGTGGACCCAGCATAGCTGTTGTTTCTTGATTCGCTAAGTAATGTCAATGTCGCTGAATAGTTTAAATGGCTGCGGTATACACCGTTCCTAATTCGCAAAGGACAATAATCTTACGCAAAACCATTCTCACGAAAGCTTCTAACGCCGACTCATCAGATGTTGTTGTTTTTGTTATTATTGTTGTAGTAGCGGCTACGTTTATCCCGTTAAGGGACAAGTTTATTAATCTGAATCATCGAGGTCATCTAACGAGAGGTCCAGGAAACGTTCTGTTTCTCCTGATGAATAGCGTTTAGTGCTTATATCCGGGCCGCCCTGTCCACCGGTTGTTGCACATGTTGCTGGATGGCGTTCTTCATGCCAAGTGTTCCCATTCTCATGTGCCTAGGTGGAGCTTCAGCTTCTATAAGATGCCTATTGGGGTGCTCCCTGCGATAACATCGCAAAAGAAATTCATTTCAAGGCAAAGCATGCTCCTTAACTCGTAGCATAGATGCTTTGCTCCGGCAACATCAGAAGGCTTATGTCGCGGTCTTGAAGGCGGTATTTTTGCAAGCTGTAGCTTCTTTATTTGCGTCGCGTTCGTCGGCGGCGCCCAGATTGGTGCAGCATAATGTACGACTGGCCAGCCAATTGCTTTGTAGGTTTTCCAGCAACGTCTCTTTGTCTTTACCCTAGGTGTTGCTGGCTAGTACTTTGAGTATTTTGTTGCGGCTCTAGCAATTGTGGTCGTATGCGAAGTGTAGAAGTACAGGCTGTCAAGTCTGACTCCCAATATACTCGTGTTTGAGTTATTTATGGTCGTAATTTTCACGTCATCGACCTTAATATCTAATTCCTATGCTCCTTAGCAGGGATTTGTCTTCCAGAGAAGAAGTGAGAAAAATCGGCAAGACAGCAGTTCACTTTCGATCAATATCTTGGCCAGACATACAAAGTTAATGAAACTTCTTATGGTGAAGAAGGGAGTATCGAAACACAACATTAGTTTCAGAAGCATTCTTTGACCAGATCAGGGTCTGGCATGTATCGGGTCCACGCTTCTTCTCAAACAACCTCAAGCTATAGTATATTTGTCTCACACACTGAGAACGTCCCTAATCTCTGCGAACAAAAACTAAAGAAAATTATCTGGCACAAATCAAAAAAAAAACGATGTGGTGTCATGCCCGTTAATTTGTTTCGTCTTCGTTAAAGAGCTTTCTGCTAATTTGTCGATGCTTTGAAATTTTTTTTATTTTCAACCACTTGGGTTTCTTTTCAGAACAATTAACGGGTATGATACCTCAACGTTTTATGAATTTTGCCCACAAGGATTTCTTTCTTTGATAGAATACTTGACGTCTTTATACGTCAAAAGACATCGCAGAATTGCTTATCAGCGCGCCTATTCTAAGGGAAATATGTGGACATCGCTCTGCACGAAGACAGGACGGTGATTGAGAACGATCTCGTTTTCAAAAAGTACACATCAAGCCTTTTTTCATTTATTAATGGTTACTCCAGACAATCATGGACACATTCCAGAAAACGGGACTTGTAACGTAGTGAAACTAGTGAAATTCCTCTTAAGAAAACAAGGTAGTAAGTCCCTTACGTAATAACCAATTGCCGCAGATATGTGGTCTGGACGTAAGTCCCTTACCATAAAGTATAAGCCATCTGCGTTAAACTATCTTTACCAAAAGGAATCGAAATCCGTCTATATACTTAGGCATTTATATTAGATAGAAAACTCACTAGGAACCGAAATACATCTAAAAGGAAAGGCTCTTGAAAATCATACCAAATATAGCGTTCTTCACCATCCTTGGTAGAAGTAGACTACACCACTTTTAATTTCGGTTTGACAACACTTTGTTGGCAAAAATCCTAGAGGAGAATGAATAGCAATAGATCAAAGATCCCTAAAAGTGTCTTGTGAAGCTTACTCTGAACCTATGGATCAACATGAGCAAGAAACTTCCTAAGGTTACTCAACTATACATAATAGGGTATCTCAACCTATCACAATGCATTTTGAAAGCCCGGCTGCTATTAAGTCCTTCCAATAACACTACATTTAAGGTGGCAGTAAGATGCAGAAAAATCTTAAGCAAACTCCTCACTGTGTGTGGAACGTGCGTGGTTTGAGTTCCTTATCTAAGCATAGGTATCACAGCGAACCAATACGCATAACAGCACTCGTAATTGAGCAGCGTTATTAAGTAATATGTTAAGATCTTTTTGAAGCACATCTTATTTCCACAGCGGTAAGTTTAATTTTTTACGAGCAGAATTTACAGTGAAATGTCCATATCAGTTATATGGAAATTAAAGAGTCTTAAAAGCGAGGCTTAAAATTATTTTAAAAAGCTACTTTCGTCTTCTAGACTCTAAAAAAAAATTGTTGTGGATATTAAGAAAACAAAAAGTTTTGTTATACCGGGGACATCCTTACGTGTCCAATACAATAAAGAAAGCAAATTTACCAAAAAAATGGCGTATGATATTTTAGCTTTCTAAATTATTAGAGGATTATTTCTTATTTCAAAAAATTTTAATTTATTAACTTTTTTGTGGTTAATCTATTTTTTGGCTTCCGATTTTTTTCTCTTTTCTGTGGGTGGACTTGTTTTTATCGAGTATTATGGATATAAATCGCTTACCGGATCTTCAGTTTCAACGAAATTAGTTTTATCGATTTTAAGTGTAGGAAAGCCATCGCAGGGAGCGAAAGCGATGGCGAATATCGAATGGTGTTGATCGCGAATAGGATGGGCGCGATCGAGAAGCGACGGTGAAATGAGTAAGCAGAGGAAGCTGAAGAGCAAGTTGTTGCTCCATCTCACCAAACTACAAGAGGTAGTCGGCGGACATCGTTTCACAGAAACCAGTAAACATGTTGAGGTGAGACGTACACTTCGACAGCGAAAAAGCGGGAATGTAGCTTTTCGCATTTTAAGATCGAGCTGAGTGTGGCACGCAGTGTGACCAATGCTCAACTTTTCCGAAGCGCGATAGACCTATATATAGGGAAAGCTCTTCTGAGGTTTTGGTTGGTTAGAAAGACGTCAAGTAACTGGGAGAACTTAGTAAGAAAGTTGAAATCGGAGTTCTTACATCCCACTTTCGATGATTTGTGTAGATCTGGCAGGGCCTTTAGTGAAGTCGTCACAAGGCTAGCGGTATATTTTTACAGTAGTAGACTACTTCTCCAAATTTCCCCTCCTATTTCCTTAGGCAAAGACATAGGGACTTGAAACGTTCAAGACTTGAGGCCATATAAGAATTAATAGGATAAAAAGACTTTTCCATTACCTGGCCAAAAAGATGATTAATTCTTTTTTATTGAGGAAGGGGCGGGGTTGTCGCATACTGGTCGCAAACAAAACTTCTTTAGTGTTTGTATATATATTTTCTTTGCTTTGCCTAATATGTCTTTCACTAAAAGCGTTGGTAGTGACATCTGTCGGCAAATAGTTGCACAAATTAAAGACATGAACTAATGGCGGTGTGTGCTTAACCAGTGGTAAAAGTCTCCTAAAGGAAGTGCTTCTACAAAACTTCCTCCACTACACAAATGATAGGGAAACGGAATGCACTGCGCGGATTTTCTCTTTATACGGCGAGGGGAAAATATCCCAGTGTACTGGGTGTACCATGGTGCCGTCTGCTTTACCTTTTGGGTGATGGGGGCCTCGCCAAATGATTGGGCATCAATATACAATCCCCAGAGAATTCTGCATGTAGGCGCTTAACTTGTGGAGTGGCTCGTGATTGTTTGTTAAATTTTTTTCGTGCCGACAGTGTCACTCCGCTCGTTACGTCGTCACCCATCGCTCTAGCATTGTTGGTAGGTTTTAACCAACAACCACTGTAGGCATATGTAAGTATATACATACATAGATGTCGTGTTAGGAGTGAAGGTGACAAGATAGATAACTATGACGCATTGATGCGAGCCGTATAAAGACGCTATGACACTAAGCACAAGAAGCAAATGTACCCGATGCAGCTGGAGAATAGGAATCAAAAGCCTAAAGAACCTCATCGAAATTGAGAGATTAGCTCATTTGACGGTTGGGGATTCATCAGCGGAGTAATGTTAGAAACACTGAGATTCCTCAAGGAGAAAAATTGCTG